TTACAACCCCATCTATAAATATATTGAACAACCACGGTAACATCACACATCCTTGTCTATGGCCTACTTTTACTGGGAAATAATCTCCCTCTTTCCTACATACTCTAACTTAAGCCTCACCATCCTCGTAAAAACTCTTCACTGCTTTCAGTAACCTACCTCCTATACCATACATCTGCAACATCTGCCACATTGCCCCCCTATCCACCCTGTCACACGCCTTTTCCAAATCCATAAATGCCACAAAAACCTCTTTAGTCTTATCTAAATACTGTTCACTTATATGTTTCACTGTAAACACCTGGTCCACACACCCCCTACCTTTCCTAAAGCCTCCTTGTTCATCTGCTATCCTATTCTCCGTCTTACTCTTAATTCTTTCAATAATAACTCTACCATACACTTTACCAGGCACACTCAACAGACTTATCCCCCTATAATTTTTGCATTCTCTTTTGTCCCCTTTGCCTTTATACAAAGGAACTATGCATGCTCTCTGCCAATCCCTAGGTACCTTACCCTCTTCTATACATTTATTAAATAACAGCACCAACCACTCCAAAACAATATCCTCACCTGCTTTTAACATTTCTATCTTTATCCCATCAATCCCAGCTGCCTTACCCCCTTTCATTTTACCTACTGCCTCACAAACTTCCCCCACACTCACAACTGGCTCTTCCTCACACCTACAAGACGTTATTCCTCCTTGCCCTATACACGAAATCACAGCTTCCCTATCTTCATCAACATTCAACAGTTCCTCAAAATATTCACTCCATCTTCCCAATACCTCTAACTCTCCATTTAATAACTCTCCTCTCCTATTTTTAACTGACAAATCCATTTGTTTTCTAGGCTTCCTTAACTTGTTAATCTCACTCCAAAACTTTTTCTTATTTTCAACAAAATTTGTTGATAACATCTCACCCACTCTCTCATTTGCTCTCTTTTTACATTGCTTCACCACTCTCTTAACCTCTCTCTTTTTCTCCATATACTCTTCCCTCCTTGCATCACTTCTACTTCGTAAAAACTTCTCATATGCTAACTTTTTCTCCCTTACTACTCTCTTTACATCATCATTCCACCAATTGCTCCTCTTCCCTCCCGCACCCACTTTCCTGTAACCACAAACTTCTGCTGAACACTCTAACACTACATTTTTAAACCTACCCCATACCTCTTCAACCCCATTGCCTATGCTCTCATTAGCCCATCTATCCTCCAATAGTTGTTTATATCTTACCTTAACTGCCTCCTCTTTTAGTTTATAAACTTCACCTCTATCTTACCTGATGCTTCTATTCTCCTTGTATCCCATTTACCTTTTACTCTCAGTGTAGCTACAACTAAAAAGTGATCTGATATATCTGTGGCCCCTCTATAAACATTTATATCCTGAAGTCTACTCAACAGTCTTCTATCTACCAATACATAATCCAACAAACTACTGTCATTTTGCCCTACATCATATCTTGTATACTTATTTATCCTCTTTTTCTTAAAATATGTATTACCTATAACTAAACCCCTTTCTATACAAAGTTCAATCAAAGGGCTCCCATTATCATTTACACCTGGCACCCCAAACTTACCTACCATACCCTCTCTAAAAGTTTCTCCTACTTTAGCAGTAAGGTCTCCTACCACAATTACTCTCTCACTTGGTTCAATGATTCCTATACATTCACTTAACATCTCCCAAAATCTCTCTCTCTCCTCTACATTCCTCTCTTCTCCAGGTGCATACACGCTTATTATGACCCACTTTTCGCATCCAACCTTTACTTTAATCCACATAATCCTTGAATTTACACATTAATATTCTCTTTTCTCTTTCCATAACTGATCCTTCAACATTATTGCTACCCCTTCCTTAGCTCTAACTCTCTCAGATACTCCAGATTTAATCCCATTTATTTCTCCCCACCGAAACTCCCCTACCCCCTTCAGCTTTGTTTCGCTTAGGGCCAGGACATCCAACTACTTTTCATTCATAACATCAGCAATCATCTGTTTCTTGTCATCCGCACTACATCCACGCACATTCAAGCATCCCAGTTTTATAAAGTTTTTCTTCTTCTCTTTTTTAGTAAATGTTTACAGGAGAAGGGGTTACTAGCCCATTGCTCGCGGCATTTTAGTCGCCTCATACGACACGCATGGCTTACGGAGGAATGATTCTTTTCCGCTTCCCCATGGACAATAGAAGAAATAAAGAAGAACAAGAACTATTTAGAAAAAGGAGAAAAAAAACCTAGATGTATGTATATATATATGCATGTGCATGTCTGTGAAGTGTGACCAAACTGTAAGTAGGAGTAGCAAGATGTCCCTGTTATCTAGCGTGTTTATGAGACAGAAAAAGACACCAGCAATCCTACCATCATGTAAAGAGTTACAGGTTTCTGTTTCACAGTCATCTGGCAGGACGGCAGTACTTCCCTGGGTGGTTGCTGTCTACCAACCTACTACCTACTTTCTCTGAATCCCTTCACTAAATATTACCCTGCTCACACTCCAACAGGTCATCAGGTCCCAAATATCATTCGTCTCCATTCACTCCTATTGAACACGCTCACGCACGCCTGCTGGAAGTCACAGAATTCGTAATGTAGAAATTAGGAGGAGGTGTGGAGTTACTAAAAATATTAGTCAAGAGAGCTGAAGAGGGGTCGTTGAGGTTATTTGATCATTTAGAGAGGATGGAATAAAGTAGAATTACTTGGAGAGTGTATAAATCTATAATAGAAGGAAAGCGTGGTAGGGGCCGTGCTAAGAAAAGTTTGAGGGAGGGGGTAAAGGAGGTTTAGTGGGCGAGGTTCTTGGACTTCCAGCAAGCATGGGTGAGTGTGTTAGATAGGAGTGAATGGAGACCAATGGTTTTTGGGACCTGATGAGCAGTTGGAGTGTGAAGGGATTCAGGGAAACCAGTCAGCTGGACTTGAGTCCTGGATATGGGAAGTACAATGTGTGCACTTTAAAGGAAGGATTTTGGATATTGGTCATGTGGAGTCACATCTAAACTGTTGTATCTGAGCTCCTCTGTAAAGACAGTAATTATGTATGGATGATGATGAAAGTGTTGAACGACGATGAAAGCTCTTTTTCTTTCTTTTCGGGTTTTTCTTTCGTTTTGGGTCACCCTGCCTCAGTGGGAAACGGCTGACATGTTAAAAAAAAAAATCAGGATACTACACGTCATGGAGTTTTTCCCCTCCATTCCAAGTAGGAGCAAGGGTCAAGTGTTTGAGAAGACATAGCTCCTTCCCTTCCCTATTCCACCTACAGCTGCTTTCTGGGAGCATCGCTTACCTCATGCACTCTACAGTCATCAGTCATTCACTTTCCCATCTCATGTGTGTATTAACCATGTTGCCCAAGGGTAATACAAGTTATGCCATATCATTAGCTCTATGAAGCACTGCAAGTTGAAACAGCTCAGAGGTGGTTTACACGACCATTAACTACTAACAACTTGGCATCGTCAACAACACAAGAATCACAGTCATCCACCTCAGCCCAGTGGACTCACATTAACCCTCTCTATACTCTTCCATGTCAAAAACAAAACACTACCAAACTATCCAGTATGTTCAGCTGTAGTAATTTTTACTTAGTTCAAAAGAAAAAACTTTCTGGCAAATTTAGAGGTGTCTGGAATGTAACCCTATTTTCCCATTTGTTCTTCATTTCACATAAGACTCTTTTACATTATTCACCAATTTCCAGAAATATTACCCACTTATAGTTAGGGCTTACAAAATATTTTTAAATTAAATTATAAAAATTACCATACAATTACTAAGACACCAGCAGCAGCATGAAACAACAAATTATGTAGGTTGCATTAATAATTTCCATTATGTTTACAAAACTCTAGGTAGTAGGTTAGCAGACAGCAACTGCCCAGGGAAGGACTACCGTCCTGCCAAGTGAGTGTAAAACGAAAGCCTGTAATTGTTTTACGTGATGGTAGGATTGCTGGTGTCCTTTTTTCTGTCTCATAAACATGCAAGATTTCAGGTGCATCTTGCTACTTCTACTTACACTTAGGTCACACTACACATACATGTTTTCTTCTTCCAACACACCGGCCGTATCCCACCAAGGCAGGGAGGCCCAAAAAGAAAAACAAAAGTTTCTCTTAAATTTAGTAATTTATGCGGGAGAAGGGGTTACTAGCCCCTTGCTCCTGGCATTTTAGTCGCCTCATACAACACGCATGGCTTACGGACGAAGAATTTTGTTCCACTTCCCCATGGAGATAAGAGGAAATAAACAAGAACAAGAACTAGAAAGAAAATAGAATACCCAGAGGGGTGTGTATACATATGCTTGTACATTTATGTGTAGTGTGACCTAAGTGCAAACAGAAGTAGCAAGACATACCTGAAATCTTGCATGTTTATGAGACAGACAAAAGACACCAGCAATCCTACAATCATGTAAAACAATTACAGGTTTTCGTTGTACACTCACTTGGCAGGACGGTAGTACCTCCCTGGTCGGTTGCTGTTTACCAACCTACTACCTAGGACACATACATGTACAAGCATATATATACACACCCCTATGGGTTTTCTGCTATTTTCTATCTAGTTCTTGTTCTTGTTTATTTCCTCTTATCTCCAAGGGGAAGCGTGTTGTAAGAGGCGACTAAAATGCCGGGAGCAAGGGGCTAGTAACCCTTTCTCCTGAATAAATTACTAAATTTGAAAAGAGAAACTTTTGCTTATCTTTTTGGGCCACCCTACCTCAGTGGGATACGGCCGGTTTGTTGAAAGAAGAAGAAAAAGCTTACAAAACAACATGCGATGACCATATGCCCATAGTGGATGCAAAAGTATGCTGCAAAGAGTTCTGAAGAACAAACACACATAGCAGAGGAAGCTGTGGTTAATGATGTGATACAGACTGCTCAGGACAAAAAGTTGTCACAATAAAAGCTAGCTCTGCACCTGTCTTTTCTTCAATACATAAATTATTATTTTTACCTTGTGAACTCCCAGTGTTCCAAATGGCAATGGATTTCCTGTTTTTGTACTGATGAGCAACACTTCAGAATCAAGAATAAGGTCTTTACCATGAGGAAAAGCCTTAGGTATGTAGTCCTTAAAATGGGATACCTGAAACACAGTATAATCACAACTAATTAACATGACTCACAAAATCATGGCATGACAGCAAACAAACCATTCCATGGGCGGGTCTTGAACTCGCTAAAATTTGAACTATACTAACCCTCCTATGGTGTATAAATATACCTAGTTGGATGAATTTTATTGTAGCCAGCTGGCCCAGTGGCTAACGCATCAGTCTGGAGCTTTGCGACTCACTAACCGCAAGTTCAAGCTCCACCCGAGGTATGGTTTGTTTACAACTATTTAATGTGGATATGTACTTTAAATGAACAAAAAATAATCATGAAGTTAAAAAATAAAAATATTATACCTCATTGTAAATTAGTATCTCAGATGTACCATATATCTTCTGTTCAAAAAATGTGTATATATATTAACTCTTTCATTGTTGAGACCTCTGCTCACAAATTTGCTCTCAGTGTTCAAGAATTTTCAAAAAAAAGAAAAAACTTATGAAATTATAATCTTTTTCCGATGGTAATGAAATCAAAAGTAAGAAATTTGATGGAAAACTCACATAATTACACTCTCGCAAAGTCAGCGGTCATGGCGATATTTATGCATCGACAATTTTGCCCACTTTGAGCACTATTTTGTGCCAATTCTATTGTTCAAGTTGACCAAACTCATAGTTATTTCATTAGAACTCCTGAGTGTAAGAATCTGCCCATTTACCGCATTCAACTGTAATGTGATCAGAAATTGGTAATTTGGCCAATTTCATTCACAATTCCAGGAAGGCAAATTTCAAAATAAGGTCCAGAATTAACAATGCAAACATTCCTAGGACTAAAATAACATTTTCTCTGTTCATCAGTCACATCTTCAAGCCCTTCTTATACAGTGGACCCCTGCCATACGAACGCATAGCGTTACGTTAAATCCGCAATACGAAGCATTTGAATGCAAAAATTTTGCCTCGCCTCAAAATAAAACACTCGCCTTACATGATTCGTCCGGGACGCGTCCCACATGTGGCCTCAGTGCCAGTGTTTACAAGCCAGCCAGTGCAGTCCCATCTACACATACATTCGGTACATTTCACATTATCCCAGTGTTTTAAGTGCTTGTAACTGCAAAATAAGTCACCAAGGACCCCAAGAAAGCTTCTAGTGCCATCCATGTGGTAAAAAGGGTGAGAATTAGTATGGAATTGAAAGAAGAGATTAAGGAAATGTGTGCAAAGTGGGTTGAACTGCAAACCTTTACGGATAAAAATCACCCTGACACAGCTACTGCAAGCCGTGTTGGCAACCTGTACAATGACAATGTTTGGCCCATTTTAGGTAAGTCTTAAAGGAACAGGAGATACAGAGCTCTATGGACAGATTTGTTGTGTGACAGAGGTCCAGTGACTTTCAGGCTGGTCCTAGTGGCATTAACCCTTTGAGGGTCGACAGGCCCTCTCCGAAACTCGTTCTCAGGGTCGGCCAAATTTAAAAAAAAAAAAAAAATTATTTTCTCTTATGAAAAGATAGAGAATCTTTTCCCGATCATAACGACACCAAAAGTTTGAAATTTGATAGAAAACTTACGGAATTATGCTCTCGCAAAGTTAGCGGTCTCGGCAATGTTTACGGATCGGCGATTTTGCCCACTTTGAGCCCCATTTTCGGCCAATTTCACTGTACTAGTCGACAAAAAACATGAATATTTCGCTAGAACTCCATTTTTTCTATCGAATGGGTGCAAGAAACCACCCATTTATAAATTCAACTATCCAGTACAGTGGTCAGAATTTAGCAATTTTGCCAATTTCACACAAATTTCAAAAGATGCCAATTTCGAAATAGGGTCCAGAATAAACAAGAAAGACATTCCTGGCACTAAAATGACATTTCCTCTAGTCATTAGTCACGTCTCAAGGCCCCTCTTATATTCTTTTGCTTTCCACTTTGAATTTTTATTCTCACAAAAAATATAAGATTTACTGTTATGCAGACTACTGCATTAGTGTAAAAAATGGTATAAATATTATTGGTGCACTTGTGAAAGAATATTAGACTCACCAGTTGACGTGTATTGCACGCTTGGCACGATTTGTTTACTTTTGAAGTTTGGTAAAAATCGAACATTTCTGCTACTTTGAGCTCAATTTCAAGGCACCTTTCATTGTAAAACCAGTCAAAATCATCTCAATTTCAGTAATATGTCTTCCATTCTATAAAATGAGACCAAGAAAACTAGAATACAACAATAAATACTATACGAAAATACACTGCAAAATCGCTGATTTATTAAAAAAAAATGGAAAAAGTTTTTTTTTTCTCATTATGCACCGTGTGCTGCAGGATTTTTTTTAGACTGTGCACACTGACCACATAGACCCATTCTTTCATATGAAGGCCTACCAGCTTTCTCCCACTAGATTTGAGGTCGCTAGAATTTATGAGTACTAGTACGTCAAAAACCCCTACGCGTAAGACGTACTAGAACGACAAAAACCCTCAAAGGGTTAAAAGAAGAAGGGAAGTAACCCCGGAAAAGAACTTGCTACCTCAAGTCCTAATGGAAGGGGATTCTCTTTCTAAACAATAACTTCCACACTCTCCCCTCCTCCCATCCCATCAATCATCACCAGATCTTCAATAAAGGTAAGTGTCATGTATTCTATTCTTAGTAGAGTAGTAATTGTGCATCTCTTCTTCAGTTTGTGTGCATTAAAATTACTATTTCATGTAGTAAAAAAATTTTTTTTTCATACTTTGGGGTGTCAGGAAGGAATTAATTTGATTTCCATCATTTCTTATGGGAAAATTAATTCGGCTAACGATAATTTCAGCTTATGATGAACTCACAGGAATGGATTAATATCGTAAGGCGGGGGTCCACTGTATTACACTTGCTTTCCATTTTGAATTTTTATTCACACAAAAAATAGATGATTTACTGTTACACAGACTACTGCATTATTGTAAAAATGGTATAAATAATATCAACACACTTGTGAAAGCATATTAGACCCACAAGTTGACGTGTATTGGATGCGTGACATGATTTGTTTACTCTTCAACATTGGCAAAAATCAAACACTTCCGCTATTTTGAGCTCAACTTCAAGGTACTTTTAGTCCATAAACCATTCAAAATAATCTCTATTTCTGTAATATATCTTCCATTCTATCAACTGAGACCAAAAAAACAAGAATAAAACCATAAATACCACATGAAAATACACCGCAAAATCGCTGTTTTAAACCAAAAATACAGACGGAGGTTTTTTTCTCATTATGCACTGGGCGCTGCAGAATTTTTTTATATTGTGTACACTGACCACTCAGACCCATTCTCTCATATGTAGGCCTACCAGCTTTCTCCTGCAAGATTAGAAGTCACTAGAATTTTGGCGTAGTAGTACGGGGCCAACACTGGCTCGCATGCCATAATATTACAGGATCGACAATGAAAGGGTTCATAACATTATAACAATACATGCTCAAAAGAATAAACTGTACTATTTGGAAAGAAAATTACCTTATGAGACATCACAGGTTTTAGTGAACGTGAAAAATACATAAACTTGCTGCCCTTCTTGTGGACCTGAACTCTTTCTCCATCGTATTTAATTTCTGCAAACATTGCCCCACTTGGGCACTTCTTAAAAGCATAATCAACTGATTTACATGCCTCTGCCTGTAAGATAAAAATATTTATATTTTCAAAGTATCATACCTGCCAAACTTCTTTTCCCATGTAATGAAATGCAACAATCAACGGTAAAAATCTCTGAAACATGATATATCCCTAGTTGTTATCTATGATTAATTTTTTTTTCAACATTCTATTATTTTTACTCTATTCAATCATTATTAATCAATGTACCATAGAGCCATGGCTGCAGCCACAGTCACAGTTTTCTCAGTTTCACAGCAAGAGAATATAAGCAATATCCTGCTTTGTCAAGAGAGCACTTACAGTTTTTTTTATTTTAACCAGGGAGAAGCAATTAAACTGTAGGGGTCAGACAGTGCTTGGAGAATGGGAGACAGACAGGTTTGATCCAGGAAGGGGAGGATAAATCTAGTTCATTGGATCAAGAGCCCCTTTTTACTTTTTTTTATTTTTTTATTAACACATCGGCCGTTTCACCAAGGGAGGGTGGACCGAAAAAGAAAAACTTTCATCATCATTAACTCCATCACTGTCTTACCAGAGGGATGCTTTACACTACAGTTTTAAAACTGGAACATTAACACCCCTCCTTCAGAGTGCAGACACTGTACTTCCCATCTCCAGGACTCAAGTCCAGCATGCCGGTTTCCCTGAATCCCTTCATAAATGTTACTTTGCTCACACTTCAACAGCACGTCAAGTATTAAGAACCATTTGTCTCCATTCACTCCTGTCAAATATGTTCATGCATGCTTGCTGTAAGTCCAAGCCCCTCGCACACAAAACCTCCTTTACCCCGTCCCTCCAACTTTTCCTAGGCCGACCTTTACCCCGCCTTCCCTCCACTACAGATTTATACACTCTTGAAGTCATTCTATTTTGTTCCATTCTCTCTACATGTCTGAACCACCTCAACAACCCCTCCTCAGCTCTCTGGATAAAGGTTCTGGTAATCCCACACCACGTCCTATTTTCCAAACTACAAATTCTCTGCATTATATTCACACCACACATTGCCCTCAGACATGACATCTCCACTGCCTCCAGCCTTCTCCTTGTTGCAACATTCACCACCTATGCTTCACACCCATATAAGAGTGTTAGTATATCTATACTCATACATTCCCCTCTTTGCTTCCACGGACAAAGTTCTTTGTCTCCACAGACTCCTAAGTGCACCACTCACCCTTTTCCCTTCATCAATTCTATGATTCACCTCATCCTTCATAGACCCATCTGCTGACACATCCACTCCCAAATATCTGAATACATTCACCTCCTCCATACTCTCCCCCTCCATACTCTCCCCCTCCAATCTGATATCCAATCTTTTGTCACCTAATTTTTCTGTTAACCACATAGCCTTACTCTTTCAAATATTTACTGTTAATTTTCTTCCTTTACATACCCTACCAAACTCATCCGCAAACCTCTGCAACTTCTCTTCAGAATCTCCCAAAAGCAGTGTCATCAGCAAAGAACAACTGCGACAACTCCCACTTTGTGTTAGATTCTTTATTTTTTAACCTCACACCTCTTGCCAATACCCGCGCATTCACTTCTCTTACAACCCCATCTATAAATATATTCAACAACCATGGTGATATCACACATCCTTGTCTAAGGCCTACTTTTACTGAGAAATAATCTCCCTCTCTCCTACATACTCTAACCTGAGCCTCACTATCCTCATAAAAACTCTTCACTGCTTTCAATAACCTACTTCCTATTCCATATACAGTGGACCCCCGGTTTACGATATTATTTCATTCCAGAAGTATGTTCAGGTGCCAGTACTGAACGAATTTGTTCCCATAAGGAATATTGTAAATTAGATTAGTCCATTTGAGACCCCCAAACATACAAGTACAAACGCACCTACATAAATACACTTACATAATTGGCCGCATTGGGAAGTGATCGTAAACTGGGGGTCTACTGTACCTGCAACATCTGCCACATTGCCCCTCTATCTACCCTCTCATATGCCTTTTCCAAATCCATAAATGCACCAAAAACCTCTTTACCTTTATCTAAATACTGTTTGCCTATATGTTTCACTGTAAACACTTGGTCTACACACCCCCTACCTTTCCTAAAGCCTCCTTGTTCATCTGCTATCCTACTCTTAATTCTTTCAATAGTAACTCTACCATACACTTTACCAGGTATACGCAACAGATTTATTCCCCAATAATTTTTGCACTCTCTTTTTCCCTCTGCCTTTATACAAAGGAACTATGCACGCTTTCTGCCAATCCCTAGGTACCTTAACCTCTTCCATACATTTATTAAATAATAGCACCAACCACTCCATTACCATATCCCCACAAGCTTTTAACATTTCTATATATCCCATCAATCCCAGCTGCCTTACTCCCTTTCATGCTACCCAATACCTCACAAACTTCCCCCACACTCACAACTGGCTCTTCCTCACTACTACAAGAGCCCCTTACTGGCATCAAAGCACCTCTCTTGAGAGGACAAAGGAATAACTTGAGGTGCCCATTGCTTGACTAGATGTCATAGGAAAAATTATGGAAATTTTGAAGTGTGCATAGACTTATATAATGTTGTTATGGGCCAATGAAGAGACTATATGATACAGCACAATGAAACAGTTCAAGTCTTTATTAATAAGAGTTTCACTACGACAATAAATTACATCATCAAGATTGTTGTTCTATGAGAAAGAATTTTATGTTTGTGACCCACCAGCATGGGAAGGACTGGAGTCATAACTTGAGCCTTCATTTGGAACTTGACTCCAGAACTGCCAGCATCCAAAATTTGGTCCAATACTGTATCTATGTTGCGCGTAGTTTGGAATGCTTCGTAAGCCTCGGGATGAAGAGCATCCAATCTGCAATGGTAAACAGCAAATAAGACACAAATAGTTGAAAGTGAACATAGAAAAGAGTAAGGTGATGAGGGTATCAAATGATTTAGATAAAGAAAGATTGGATATCAAATTGGGGAGGAGGAGTATGGAAGAAGTGAATGTTTTCAGATACTTGCAAGTTGTAAAGTAAAAGGACACTAAGTGCAACTAATGTGACATTTATTGTGGCAATGTTTCGCTCTCCAGGAGCTTTATCAAGCCATTACAAACAATACATGGACACAGAGGGTATATAAAGGCTCTGAGTGAGGTGCAATACTAGTGAGGTACCATTTCGATGTTCACTAGTGGTAGTAGCAGTAGTAGTAGTAGTAGTAGTAGTAACAAAAATAATACAATATGGAAGAGCAAATAATTCGTACATGAGTAAAAGGATATAAAAGCTATTACTTGGGTAACATAAAAATAGGTTGGACAAATATAGACTGGAAATAGGCAGGTTTTTTTCGGTGTTCACTCTCTGTAATGTGCTTGTGTAGTATAACAGGAGAGACTATGTGATGGCAGGGTTTACTGTTTTCAGGAGGATTCTTGCTAAGACTTCGGAGATGGTGAAGCTGCCGTTCCATCTCCGAAGTCTTAGCAAGAATCCTCCTGAAAACAGTAAACCCTGCCATCACATAGTCTCTCCTGTTATACTACACAAGCACATTACAGAGAGTGAACACCGAAAAAAACCTGCCTCTTTCCAGTCTATATTTGTCCAACCTATTTTTATGTTACCCAAGTAATAGCTTTTATATCCTTTTACTCATGTACGAATTATTTGCTCTTCCATATTGTATTATTTTTGTTACTACTACTACTACTACTACTACTACCACTAGTGAACATCGAAATGGTACCTCACTAGTATTGCACCTCACTCAGAGCCTTTATATACCCTCTGTGTCCATGTATTGTTTGTAATGGCTTGATAAAGCTCCTGGAGAGCGAAACGTTGCCACAATAAATGTCACATTAGTTGCACTTGTGTCCTTTTACTTTACATATTGTCGGTAATTCTACCAACTTTATTACTTGCAAGTTGATGTGTCGGCGGATGGATTTATGAAGGATGAGGTTAATCATAGAATTGATGAGGGAAAAAAGGTGAGTGGTGTGTTGAGGTATATGTGGAGTCAAAAAATGTTATCTATGGAGGCAAAGAAGGGAATGTATGAAAGTATAGTAGTACCAACACTCTTATATGGGTGTGAAGCTTGGGTTGCATAAGAACATAAGAAAGGAGGAACGCTGCAGGAGGCCTGCTGGCCCATACTAGGCAGGTCCTTTACAATTCATCCCACTAACAAAACATTTGCCCAACCCAATTTTCAATGCCACCCAAGAAATAAGCTCTGATGTGAAAGTCCCACTCAAATCCAACCCCTCCCACTCATGTACTTATCCAACCTAGATTTGAAACTACCCAAAGTCCCAGCCTCAATAACCCAACTAGGTAGACTGTTCCACTCATCAACTACCCTATTTCCAAACCAATACTTTCCTATGTCCTTTCTAAATCTAAACTTATCTAATTTAAATCCATTACTGCAGGTTCTCTCTTGGAGAGACATCCCCAAGACCTTATTAATATCCCCTTTATTAATACCTATCTTCCACTTATACACTTCGATCAGGTCTCCCCTCATTCTTCGTCTAACAAGTGAATGTAACTTAAGAGTCTTCAATCTTTCTTCATAAGGAAGATTTCTAATGCTATGTATTAATTTAGTCATCCTACGCTGAATGTTTTCTAACGAATTTATGTCCATTTTGTAATACGGAGACCAGAAATGAGCTGCATAATCTAGGTGAGGCCTTACTAATGATGTATAAAGCTGCAGTATGACCTCTGGACTTCTGTTGCTTACACTTCTTGATATAAATCCCAGTAATCTATTTGCCTTATTACGTATGCTTAGGCATTGCTGTCTTGGTTTAAGGTTGCTGCTCACCATAACCCCCAAGTCCTTTTCGCAATCTGTATGGCTAAGTTCTACATCATTTAACTTATAAGTACTAGGGTTATGGGCACTCCCAAGCTTCAGAACATTGCATTTATCTACATTGAACTGCATCTGCCACTTTTCTGACCAAGAATAGAGTTTGTTTAAATCCTCCTGAAGTTCCATAACATCTACGTTTGAATCAATTATCCTACCTATCTTTGCGTCATTGGCGAATTTGCTCATATCACTAGTAATTCCGTCATCAAGATCATTGATATATATTATAAACAACAACGGGCCCAAGACTGATCCCTGTGGAAAGCCACTTGTTACAGATCCCCACTCGGACTTAACCCCATTTATGGACACTCTCTGCTTCCTGTCAGTGAGCCATGACTCGATCCACGAGAGCACTTTTCCCCCAATGCCATGAGCTGCCACTTTCTTTAACAGTCTATGGTGCGGAACTCTATCAAAAGCCTTACTAAAATTTAAGTAAATAATATCAAATTCTTTATTGTGGTCAACAGCCTCAAAAGCTTTACTGAAGAAAGTTAATAAATTAGTTAGACAAGACCGGCCTCTTGTGAATCCATGCTAAGTATCATTAATCAAGCTATGCTTATCGAGATGGCTTCTTATAATCTCAGCTATAATTGACTCTAGTAATTTGCCTACAATTGAGGTCAGGCTTATTGGGTGGTAATTTGACGGTAACGACTTGTCCCGTTTTAAAAATAGGAATTACATTAGCCATCTTCCACATATCAGACACTACACCTGTTTGATGAGATAAATTAAAAATATTAGTTAATGGTTCACAGAGTTCCATTTTGCTTTCCCTTTAAGAACCCTTGAAAAAAACCTCATCAGGACCCGGCGACTTATTTTGCTTCAGTCTGTCTATCTGCTTCACAACCATCTCACTAGTGACTGTGATGTTACATAATTTATCTTCTTCTAGCCCACTGTAAAAATTAATTACTGGAATATTGTTAGTGTTCTTCCTGTGTTAAAAACCGAGAGAAAATAATTATTTAAAATCAAGCACATTTCATTCTCTTTGTCAGTAAGATGCCCATAGTTATTTTTAAGGGGACCTATCTTATCTCTAACTTTTGTTCTATAGACCTGGAAAAAACTTTTTGGGTTAGTTTTAGAATCCCTAGCAACTTTAATTTCATAGTCCCTTTTAGCTTTTCTTATCCCCTTTTTAATGTCCCTCTTAATGTCAATATATGATTCATAAGATGACCCTCACCTCTTTGATATGCCTATAAATTCCTTTTTATGCCCTAGTAGATATTTGAGTCTATTATTCATCCATTTTGGGTCATTTCTATTTGATCAAATTTCTTTATATGGGATAAACGCTCTTTGAGCAGCATGTATAGTGTTCAGAAAACTGTCATATTGATAGCTCTCTTCGTTACCCCAGTCAACAGATGGTAAGTGTTCTCTAAGCCCATCGTAATCTGCTAAGCGAAAATCTGGGACTGTTACTGAGTTATCGCTACTATCGTACTTCCATTCAATGCTAAATGTAATTGATTTGTGGTCGCTAGCACCCAGTTCCTCTGAAATTTCTAAATTATTAACAAGGGATTCATTGTTTGCCATAACTAAGTCAAGCAGGTTATTTCCCCTTGTAGGTTCTGTCACAAACTGCTTCAAAAAAACAATCCTGAAATACTTCTAAGAAGTCGTATGATTCTAAAATTCCCAGTCAAGAAATTCCAATCAACATGACTAAAGTTAAAGTCTCCTAGAATTACTACTTTTATCGTGCCTTGTGGCCTTAACAATTTCCTCCCATAGTAGTTTCCCTTGGTCCCTATCTAAGTTTGGGGGACGGTATATCACTCCTAAAATCAGTTTTTCATGCCCCTCTGAAAATTCTATCCAAACAGACTCTGTATGTGTTACTTCAGACTTAATACCCGTTTTTATGCAACAGTTCAAGCGATCTCGGACATACAATGCCACCCCACCCCCCTTCCCAATACTTCTATCTTCTTGGAACAATTTAAAACCCTGAATATGACATTCCGCAGGCATGTCCCGACTTTTTGAATTAAACCACGTCTCAGTTAAGGCAAATACATCAATGTTACCTGCACTAGCAACTAATCTCAACTCGTCCATCTTATTCCTAGCACTACGGCAATTAGCATAATAAACACTGAAAGACTCTCCTTTCTCTTTACCCTTCCTGCTCATTTCTATTTTTCTACTAAACCTATTACTGTCCTTATCACCCAAGGTCCCTGGCTTTCAATATCTACCTCGTTCTTATTATTACTAGTTCCCCTAGAACTCGTAATATTACTACACTGGGACTTCACTGTTTTCCTGTCAAAACCCATACCACTAACTACTCCTAGTTTAAAGTCCTAACTGCTCCCTCCACTGCAGTTGCCAGTGCTCCCACCCCACACCTAGATAAGTGAACCCCATCTCTGGCATACATGTCATTTCTGCCATAGAAGAGGTCCCAGTTGTCAATGAATGTTACCGCATTATAATTACAGTATTTGTCCAGCCAGCAATTGACACCAATTGCCCTGGACAACCATTCATTTCCAACTCCCCTCCTTGGCAAAATACCACATATGAGAGGGTTCCCACCCTTACTCCTAATTATTTCTATTGCTGACCTATACTTGCTAATCAGGTCTTCACTCCTACGTCTGCCAACATCGTTGCCTCCAGCACTGAGACAGATAATAGGATTGCTCCCATTACCTCTCATGATGTCATCCAGACGGCTAACAATATCCTCCATCCCGGCCCCAGGAAAGCAAACTCTCTGTCTCCTACTCCTGTCCTTCGCTGCTGCGAATGCAGCAGCGAGGAGGCGGTTGGAGGCAGTGGAGATGTCCTGTCTAAGGGCAATGTGTGGTGTAAACATTATGCAGAAAATTCGATGTGTGGAAATTAGGAGAAGGTGTGGAGTTAATAAAAGTATTAGTAAGAGGGTTGAAGAAGGGTTGTTGAGGTGATTTGGTCATTTAGAGAGAATGGATCACAGCAGAATGACATGGAGAGCATTTAAATCTGTAGGAGAAGGAAGGTGGGGTAGGGGTCATTCTTGAAAAGGTTGGAAGGAAGGGGTAAGGGAGGTTTTGTCGGCTAGGGGCTTGGACTTCCAGCAGGCGAGCATGAGCATGTTCGATAGGAGTGAATGGAGACGAATGGTATTTGGGACCTGATGATCTGTTGGAGTGTGAGCAGGGTAATATTTAGTGAAGGGATTCAGGGAAACCGGTTATTTTTACATAGCCGGACTTGAGACCTGGAAATGGGAAGTACAATGCCTGCACTTTAAAGGAGGGGTTTTGGGATATTGGCAGTTTGGAGGGATATGTTGTGTATCTTTATACGTATATGCTTCTAAACTGTTGTGTTCTGAGCACCTCTGCAAAAACAGTGATTATGTGTGAGTGAGGTGAAAGTGTTGAATGATGATGAAAGTATTTTCTTTTTGGGGATTTTCTTTCTTTTTGGGTCACCCTGCCTCGGTGGGAGATGGCCGACTTGTTGAAAAAAAAAAATAAATAAAAACTAAGTATAGTCAAGTGAATTATTTTCACTTCAAAATGTATGTTTTATACTAGATTATTATTCTTCACTTGGAAGTTCTAACCTCATAAGGATCATACAACCCTAGGGAAATGGGAGGTAATTAGGTTTGACCCAAGGAAGAGGGTAGCTCCAATTGATAGGATCAAGAGCCCTTTACCAACATAGACACTATTATGAAGGGTTGTTTTATACAGTATTAGAATCTGTACAATTATAACAAAAAAAGGCACAATACCGTGACTGGAACGATACACAAATAACCTGCAAGTATGCAACCAAGAGCACCATCATGTCGGTTATAAAAAATCCCTATTTTAGAAGTGTTTCAATTATTTATTCTTTTCCAATACCTGTATACACAATTTGGGATAAAAACTATAAAACAACTTAATCTTTCTTTCTTCTTTCAATGTACCAGCCGTATCCCACCGAGGCGGGGTGGCCCAAAAGAAAAAACGAAAGCTTCTCCTTTTAAATTTAGTAATATATACAGGAGAAGAGGTTACTAGCCCCTTGCTCTTGGCATTTTAGTCGCCTCTTACGACACGCATGGCTTACGGAGGAAGAATTCTGTTCCACTTCCCCATGGAGAAACTTAATCATATTAATAGTATTTTATAAAGCATAAAGTTTATCTCTACAGTGTTACCTACAATGAACAATGATACAAAAATAATAAAAATAAGCTTGTCCAGTCTTGTCTTGTCTTCTTTATAAAGTGAACAAATTACTGGTCAACTTTACCATTCTATTTACATTTAATATGTAAGAGCTACTACTGTTGAAATGTGTAATTTTAATTTGAACTACCATCTTGACACACTTCTGCCAAGACAGCTATTTAATGAATGACAGTGAATGTTTCTCTTTTTCTGTCACACTACCTTGGTGGAAGATGGCTGTTGAGTTAAAAAACTCATCACATCACTTATTCACTTATGTAATTTAAAGAAAAACTCACAATATATCACAAATATGCACTGCTTTGAGCAGGGAAAAGTGTTCACTCCGGCTGCTATACAGTGGAAGTTTCATTTATGTGATTAAAATGTTGGACAGCAAATTGCCATTTCATGACCTACTCACTTATAGAGTTAAGTTACAGTTAAAAGCTCAACTTGCCATTACAAGAAACTGAAACAATGAATGCAGAAGAGAGCATTGTCAGTTCTGTATTTGCAAGACAAAATAAGTGGCTACACACAAGCCATGTGTGTCATAAGTTGTGACTAAAATGCCAGGAGCAAGGGTATAGTAACCCCTTCTCCTATATAAATTTTTATTAAATGTAAAAAGAAAAACTTTATAAAGTTGTGAAAGCTTTTCTTCTTTTTCGGGTCATGCTGCCTAGGTAGGAGATGACTGGCGTGTTAAAACAAAAAACTTGTTTTACCTCATTAGTCATCTCTCACCAAGGAATGATGACCTTGAGAAGAAAACATCATTCATTCAATCACTATATTGCCAGGAGTGTACTGACATCGTAGTTCGGATTACCAGTACCCTTTGACTGTAATATCCTCAATCCTCCTCCAGAGTGCAAGCACTGCAACTTCCATCTCCAAGACTCAAATTCAGCTACATGATTTCCCTGCATCCCTTCACAAATGGTACCCCGTTCACACCCCAGCAGCACATCCATCAAAAACTATTTGTCACCTTTGACTCCAATCTAACATGCTTACATAAGCCTGCAGTATGCTCAAGCCCCTAAAACTTAAAGCCTCCTTTACCCTCTGCCTCAAATCATTCCTGGGATGACCCCTACCCCTACTACCTTCAACCCCAGATTTATATGCCCTCATTGTCATTCTATCCCTCTTCATCCTCATTACATGCTCAAACCACCTTAACAACCCTTCAACCCTCTGAATAATACCCTTGATGACCCTACATCGCCTTTTAATTTCTATGCTCCAAATTCTCTGTACAATATTCACACCACACACTGAAATAATCATGTCAACTTTTAAATTATGTTTATTAGATTCACAGGCATTCTACAAATAATTTTTTTTAATAATGATATAAACCAAATTATTAAAAACAGACACTTAAGTACAATATACTACTACATAAAAGAGCTAGAAAATACAAAATCTATAGGGAAGAAAAACAACAAGTCATTAAAATGGATGAAGAGGTGTCTCAAAAGAAAAGTGTGCAAATTGATTTTAGGAAATTGCCCAAATGGATGGTCAAGTACAAGAAATGTAGGAAAAGAAAAGTAGACAAAAAAGAATTGTAATCATCCTACTTCTCTGCAATTCTCATTACTGCCATGAAACTTACATGTGTTTTGCTCCTGCATTGATCCGGAGATCTCCCTTGATCAAACGGACGATCATCTTCAAATCGTTAGCAGTACTTCTGTAATTGATTTAGAATACAGTACTTCTGTAATTTATTTAGAATACAGTAACATTATTATTATTACTGGGAGAGCACTGACCCCATAGGGGTCATAAAGCACATGGAAAAGTGGGATATCACTAAGTTTGATCCAAGGAAGGGGAGGATATGTTCACTTCCTTAGATCAAGAGCCCCTCACCAACATCAAGGAATCTCCTTGAGAGGACAGTATTTAATAGAAATGAAAAGTTGATAATGAAAAGATACAAGAAATTTAATTTATGAAAACTTTCCTACAAGATTAAGTAGTTATTAAAAATTAAATAATTCAACATCACGTACGTTGCAAAATGTTCAATAACCTTTAATGCTGTGGTGAGTTTACAAGTTTTCTTCCAAATGTATATGCATTAAAAAAAATTTTTACCTTATACCAAAATAATATAGAGCAGTTTATAAATATGATTAAAAAAAACTATGATGAAGGCTGAATTATGTGTCAGTGGCAGTGTGATGGTGATACATGTGTACAGATGACAGAATACATAGGCAAATCTTGACATCTACTTTATACTGCATTCTACATTAAAAGAAATACACTTCAGACCAATGTTTTCACAATGGGGGAAAACCTATTTTAACACTATTCATCTTCTAATTTCCTAGCATCATCCTCATATGTATCTATGCAATAAGATCACAGTAAACAGGTGATATCAAAATATGTAAAACAACCACTGTGAAAGGATAGTGAAATTCCAAGCGCTTTCGTGACTTCTCACATTATCAAGGAACTATAAGGACAATACATCAAAGGAAGGCATATAAAGGGTCTAGGCAACACCTCACAATCACATCCCACAACAAAGCAACACCTGATGTGCGACGACACCCGACTCATAAGAAAGGAGGAACACTGCAGCAGGCCCGTTGGCCCAACTAGACAGGTCCTTCACGACATCCCACTAACAAAATATTCTACCCAAGAATTAAGATTTACTTTTTGTTCAATGTATTATTAACCCTTTGACTGTTGCAATCCCAAATCCTGAAGTGTCTCCTGGTGTCGAAGAATTTTCAGGAAAAAAAAAAAAAAATTTCTTATGAAAATGTGAAGATTAATTTTCTGAGTGTTTTAAGTACAAAAAACTTTTTTGCGATCAGCATTTACCGAGATATAGAGGCGTAAAGTTGGCAGAAAATGAGCTGTGTATGGCAACAGCGGCAAATGCCGCTCACCTGGTAAACTTTGGTTTACTTGCATTCCAAGGTTTCTTGTTTTTTTCACTATTTCATTTTTTCAGGTAACTTATGTGGCCTGAGTCCAAAGGTACAATGTACATATATATACTCGTTGTATACAACACAATAAGTGCATAAACATAATTATTAATATATTGTTTACATAACTTGTTTACACAAATAAAAAAAAAATTTTATTACTATTGCTTTATAATATACAGTGGACCCTCGACCAACGATGGCATCGTATAACGTTAAATCTGACTAGTAGTACATTTTAACGCAAAAATTTTGCCTCGACTAGCGCTAAAAAACTCAACCAACGCGATTCGTTCAGTTCGAGACGCATCCACTTGTGGCCTGAGCGCGCCTCACTTGTCCCGTGGGTGCCAGTGTTTACAAGCCAGCCAGCCACCGTGGTCCCATCCAAACATACAATCAGAACATTTCATATTATCACAGCATTTTTAGTGATTGCACCTGCAAAATAAGTCACCATGGGCCCCAAGAAAGCTTCTAGTGCCAACCCTACAGCAAAAAGGGGGAGAATTCCTATGGATATGAAGAAAGAGATCATTGCTAAGTATGAAAGTGGAGTGCATGTCTCCGAGCTCGCCAGGTTGTACACAAAACCCTAATCAACCATCGCTACTATTGTGGCCAAGGAAACGGCAATCAAGGAAGCTGTTCTTGCCAAAGGTGCAACTATGTTTTCGAAACTGAGATCGCAAGTGACAGATGTTGAGAGACTGTTATTGGTGTGGATAAACGAAAAACAGATAGCAGGAGATAGCATCTCTCAAGCGATAATATGTGAAAAGGCTAGGAAGTTGCATGACGATTTAATTAGAAAAATGCCAGCAACTAGTGGTGATGTGAGTGAATTTAAGGCCAGCAAAGGTTGGTTTGAGAGATTTAAGAATCGTAGTGGCATACATAGTGTGATAAGGCATAGTGAGGCTACAAGTTTGGACCAAAAAGCAGCTGAAAAATATGTGAAGGAATTTAAGGAGTACATAGACAGTGAAGAATTGAAGCCTGAACAAGTATTTAATTGTGATGAAATAGGCTTGTTTTGGAAGAAAATGCCAAGCAGGACCTACATTACTCAGGAGGAAAAGGCACTCCCAGGACATAAGCCTATGAAAGATAGGCTTACTCTGTTAATGTGTGCTAATGCTAGTGGTGATTGCAAAGTGAAGCCTTTATTGGTGTATCACTCTGAAACTCCCAGAGTGCCTACTTCAAAGATTAAGGAAATGTGTGCAATGTGGCTTAAAGTGCAAACCTTTTTTGATGAAAATCACCCTCACACAGCTATTGCAAGCTGTGCTGGTGACTATTACACTGACAATGCTGTGAAACACTTTAGGAATGTCATAAAGGAACGGGAGGTACAGGCCTCTATGGACAGATATGTTGTGCGACAGAGGTCCAGTGACTCTCAAGCTGGTCCTAGTGGCATTAAAAGAAGAAGGGAAGTAACCCCAGAAAAGGACTTGACACCTTAAGTCCTAATGGAAGGGGATTCCCCTTCTAATCACTAACACCATCCACACTCTCCCCTCCTCCCATCCCATCAATCATCACCAGATCTTCAATAAAGGTAAGTGTCATGTAATTGTACATGTCTTCTTCAGTTTGTGTGTATTAAAATTAATATTTCATGTGGTAAATTTTTTTTTTTTCATACTTTGGGGTGTCAGGAACGGATTAATTTGATTTCCATTATTTCTTATGGGGAAAATTAACTTGACTTAAGATATTTCGACTAACGATGAGCTCTCAGGAACGGATTAATATCGTTGGTCGAGGGTCCACTGTATATACAAATGTACAGTCACTGGATATGTTTCTAGAAGTTCTGCAGCTTCTCGAACTCTTTGAAGCATGTTTTTATACACAATGGTGTTTTACACTCCTCACACATAAAATGAGTGTGTGTGCATTTTTGTGGGCATTTTTTTTTTATGTGCAAAGACAAAACACCTCGTCTGAGCAGTTTTCTTCAAAGTATTAACACTCAGTTGTGTTAGGTAGTTATCCTAGGTAAATGGTCGTGTGTCATCATTCCTTCCTTCCTACGTTCCTGCATTCCTTTCCTACCTTTCTTCCTACATTCCTTCCCTCCTCCTTTACTTTTTTCCTTCCTTCCTTCCTTTCATCCCGTCCTTCCTTCCTTCCTTCCTCCCTGCCTTCCTTCCTTCCTTCTGGTTTCTATAATATATATACATATATATAGTCACTGGATACTTTCATATAATTGCTATTATCTTGAAGCTTGTGTTGTGTTTGAGTGTGTGGACTTCTAATTGTTCTGAGTCAGGGTCGGCAGCTGTCAAAATGACATACTGCCTCATTACTCACTCACCCTACCGCCTGTCAAAACAATGGGGTCGGATGCTCGCTTCCCCTCCATCCTACTATCTAATTATCTTTCTCCCTCATTCTCTCTCAAATTTCTATCATTCTCTCTCATTCTCTCCCTCATTCTCTCTCCCATTCTCTCTCATTCTCCTTCATTCTTCATTCTCCTTCATTCTTCTGGTATCCTGGGCATTGCTTTTGGCCACAAATGCCTCAAAACCATGAAATTGATCTTCACTGACACTTCCATTTGTGTTAGAGCATCACTTGGGAAGAGTAGAGTCCCAGATTTGCCGGGGAGTCACATATTTCTTACTGCTAGGCATGCTGAACAAGGACTACTGAAATGGCATTCCCACAATGCACCACTGACTCCCCAATTTTTTTATATGGTGCATAATGCCCATTTATTTATTTTATTTATTTATTTATTAACAATTTGAGCACACATACAGAGGTACAAAAAAATACAGATAAGAGCAGCATGCCAAAGCCACTTATACTATGCATAGCATTACGGGCTGGCTTAAGGGGGCAGGCGGGCAATTTTCCGCGCGCGCTCACCGAAAAATCGAAAAAATATGGAAATTGAGTTATATATACTGAAAAATAGCTCAACTCTTTGGCAACACAATGGTACCAGAATGAATGTTCTACGACGTTTCTACAAGAAATTATAGTCATTTATATCAGGTATGGTGACGGCGATGTTGGTACCGAGTCTGCTCACGGCCTATATATTTTTTGGAGTTATTTTCTTGTTTTTTATCGCCTTTTCTTGCATTATTCTTTCTAATATAATAACTGACTATTTGGCATCATAAAACAGTAGGTGGAGCTTATCGGCAGACTTAGTGACTACCGGGAACCAGACGGGAACGCTCAGCAGTGTTCCTGCTCCCGAGGTGCCAGCCAGGAATCACCCATTATTTCGCTTATATCAGCTTATATATCAACTCTACGGCTTATTTGTCTATCAGAATTGATCTAATATGATATAATAAACACTCTAAATAACATACAAACATGTTATATACTCTAGACTGAATAAAATAGGCCATAATATGGCCCAGAGATTATCGGGAATATTTCGATATAAAAGTGTAACTGGTCACCCTGTCGTCTCTGAGTAAGAGAAAACGGTGTTTAGAGGCTAACTGCACTAGAACATCAGTTTACTAAGAAATACACCCAAACAAACGCGATTTTCGCGAAAAAAATTTTTTTTTTTTTTTTGAGACGGGGGCCGGCCGGCGTTCCCGGCCGATATCTCGGAAGTAACTTATTCACCTATAATTTGATGTGGGTCCTTTATTACTTAATTAAATGGAATAATATTCACAGATATTGTAGAATAATGATTTCTCTTTTTTTGACCGTAGAATTTTTGGAAATATTCCAAATACTT